TTTTTTTTTTTTTTTTTTTTTTTTGAGGGGGGCATTTCGCTTTATACCCCAGGCTGGTTTTGAATTCGCAGCGATCTTCCTGCCTCAACTTAGTGTTGCACCCAGTTTGAAAGCTTAAAGTTTCTCAAAATGTGTGGTGGAAGGTGTTCTCATGAAACAGTGAATAGGGGTCGGGGGAAAAATAGTTTCTGCTAGAGGAAAAACAAGCTTTAAATATCTTTGACAGATGTCTCCCACTCTCACCACCTCCTACCGGTGAAAGAACACAGGACCTTGCACTTGCCAGGCAGGCACGGTGTCACTGAGCTAAATCCCCAGCCCTATGACAGACTATGTATTTACATGGAATAAAAACATTTTACTGATGAGGAGTAACTGCCCCTGAACCACAACCCTTATAGAAAATGGAAAATTTTCGAGTAGTTAACTGCTTTAGCACATACAATTTAACATCAGTGCTAAGTAGTTAGCTTTCTTTGTGTATCTCCTCATGACCTCTTCAATCCAGTACTCTGCTTAGCTGCTACTGAACTCCCTAAGTGGAGAACAAGAAAGCAAACTGAGGTGTAGGCGTAGGTGTAGGCCATAAACTTGCCTCTTCTCAACATTACGAACTGCTATACGTGGAGTCTGGGGTCGGTCCTGAGTAACTGAAGCCACAAATATAATTTAGTGATTGCTTCAGTTCTTCTGCATAATTTTGGATTGTCTGCAGTCAAGGAATATATGTTTAGATCTAACGTTGTCAATCCTGGACACACAGGAATGCTCAGCTAAGGATGGTGGGAAAATGCATCTTTCTCCCCAGAGTATAAGAATGGCTATGTATGTATAGATGTTTTTCTTTCTTTCTTTTTTGTGGGGGCGGGTACTGAGGATCAAACTTGGGACCCTGCGCTTGCGAGGCAGGTGGTGGTGGCACCACTGAGCTAAATCCCTGGCCCTAGATTGATGCTTTTCTAAATCCCTGTGGCCTGCTGCTGCTTATCTACTCCGGAGCCTGCCATGCTGAAGTGTTGGTAGACCCACGGCCGAGTGTGAGAATGTCCAGCAGGTTTGGCTGAGGGTGCCACATGTAAAATGATACAAAAGGAAGGGACATTAATATTTTGTGGTTGGAGGTCACACGTGGGTGAAGTTTTAACTCCAGAGGAGTCTTATTCTAGCATCATTTGTATAGCAAAGCTTCTAACAGCAGGTCTGAGAAGCAAAAGCCATGATGTTCTCCAGCTGTTTCCCAGGAAACCTTCTGTGTCTCACAACACTATCTGTAAATGCTTGCTGAGCCTAAAATTGGTGAACCAAGACTCTGGCCACTGTCTGGGCCAGGAGAAAAGGGCAAGTCAAGTGTAAAGCTACACGAATAACTTCACCAAGGAGCAGCTCCACTGGAAAATATTTGGGTGTGGTACAGGTAGCCACACTATCTGTGTTCTCAGTGGATATCATCTTCCTGTGGTCAAAAACCATGGGGATGAGGACCTATCATTTTTTAATTGAAAAAAAATCTCAAAAGATTTGTGTCTGATGATGAGATCTAAAAGCAGAGGGAATACCAAAAAATAAAATAAAATAAGCAAAGGGAGGCATACTGCAGATAAATAAACACATAGTTCAAAATTCAAGTCTGAATTTCTGGGCTCAAGCAATTTCTTGCCTCAGCTTCCCTACTAGCTAGAAATAGGCATGAACCATGGCTCTGTGATCCAAAATACAGTATTTTTTTCATTGCTAGGGATCACCCAAGAACTTGTGCATGCTAGGCAAAGGCTCTGTCACTGAGCTATATTCCTAGCACCCAAGTATAATCTTATCAGAACATTACAGAATTAGATACAATTTTCTTTTTTTTTTTTTCAATACTGGGGAGCGAATGCAGGACCTTGCATTTGCAAGGCAGGCACGGAGCCACTGTGCTACATCCCTGGCCCAAGTTATAATTTTCTTTACAAAATGTGCGCGTGCTTTGCTACACCGTTTCAAGATTATATAAGGATTTTCCTTGCATTTAGCCTTAGCTTATTAAGATAAATTGTGACCTTAAAACAAGATGACTGTCTCTAAATTTGTCTCTGCTTATTTTCAAAACTATAGGAAAAGAAAAACTACAGGGCTAGGGCTGGGGATGTAGCTCAGCGGTAGAGTGCTTGCCTGGTATGCACAAGGCCCTGAGTCTGATTCCTAGCACCACAAAACAACAATATACAAGCCTATAAGGCTAGATTTTAATTTACTCCATCATTTAAAAGACAAAAAGTAAAAGCCATTAAATACAGCAATTTTTACATATGCTTAACTTATGCAATAAACTGAACCATCCTTTCAAAAAGGCTGTGACATGGAAGCAGCTTAAAGAGCAGTTACAAATTCAACAAGAGACACTGGGAACACAAAATGAGCACGAGAAAACAGGAGAAGCAGGAAAAAAAAAGAGAATGAGGGGGAAGAGGATTTCTTTCCCATTGCTAGTCATTTGACTTTGGCCAACTCAAGTTGAAAATCTGTGTTAGCAACGGATAGTGTGGGGGAACAGAGAGGGTCAGTAATACCACAAGCACTACAAACCCGAGGTAGTTTTGACAGTATTGGGAAGGAAGCATCTTTAAACACATTACATGTATGCCTCTAGATCCTAACTCAGATCACTGTGGTGTTTTAAAATATCCTTTCGAGGGAGGTGCCATTCTTTCTTTAATCAGGTACTACACGGATGTTTTGAATTGCTTATGGAAGAAAGGGTCTCAGAGGCACATCAATTACCCCAGAAGAGGGCACCATTACCCCAGAAATGTTTGGAAGCTGCATCTGCTAAGGGAGAAATTCTAATGTTTCAAAAGAAACAGGAGAGGCTAGCAAAGTAGTGTTGTCTTTGATACCTCCACTGGTTTCCTGTCTTCCCTACCTCCATTAGGCAATATCCTGTCTTCTTTCTTGCCTGAGTCTTCTCCCATACTAGAAGTTTCAAAATGCAGGTTCACTTTTTTTTTTTATTGAGACAAGATCTCACTATGTAGTCCAGGCTAGCCCCAACCGAACTCAGATGATCCTGCTGCCTCAGGCTCACGAGTGCTGGGACTACAGGCATGTGCCATTACACCCCCCAGCTCACCAATCATTCACTTCGACAGGCTCAGGTTCTTTCCATTGTTTTTTCTCATGAACATGACATTTTGAGAGAGTCTGCCTAATTGATTTCAGTCACAACTGATGGTCATTCTTTTTTTTTTTTTGTACTGGGGATTAAATTTAGGACCTTGTACTTGCAAGGCAGGTGGCAGAGCCACTGAGCTAAATCCCCAGCCCTGATGGTCATTCTTCTATGAATAATATATACACGTCGCTTAATCTTGTCACACCGGCAGGGGATTGTGTTGCATTACTTAGCTGTGTAAATTCAACCAATGGGGAAGAAAAATAAAAACTCATAGTTTCCATTAAAAAATAATTATTAGAAAAATAATTGCAGGTCACCTATTTTGGGAAATAATATCTGAAACAATTTAATATAACACATTTCCATCTCTAATATTAATCTGTGATATGAGTGTAATAAAAGGGCAATGTATTAGTTTCATAATAGAGGTCATTTAATACATTAAGTTAGAGAGTGTCAATGCATCCAATGACAAAATTTTTAAAATAGATATCATTGGTACCAGATATTATTGGTACCCAGATGTGGCTGTTACAAAAGACTTCAGATTCCTTGTTGCACTAAAAATTCATCTCAGTCTAAAAATCAAAGATGAAACTCAATTCGTTGGTGCTCCTTTTCCAAAGATTTTCAAGAATAGAGGCAAAAATGTAAAACTGGAAGCAATATTCAGAAATTTTGGATGAATTCAGTATTTCACAAGCTCCTCACTGAGGAGGAGGGTGCTCAAAGACCTTGAGCTCAATTTCCAGAACTGAGGGGGAAAAATGGAGTCTACCATCCTGTTACACAAGTGAAAAACTCTCCAACACAGCTTCAAGGGAACTACTAAACCTCTGTGCCTAAATAATGAATTCATTATTCTACAAAGCTGCCTACTTGTCTTCAGATAGTTTTGTGTAGTAGGAAGGTCTTCATACAAATTTGAAACTGTTCTAACTTTCATTCACTGGTGCAGACTCCACGTGTAAGAGCCTCCATCTCTACTTCCCCCACAAATCCTTTCTATGCAAATTACCCCTATGGACCCTTGGAGCAGAGTTCCAAATGTTCTTGCAGCCATGCCTAGTTTTGGGATGGCCACAGCCCAGTGGAAACTGTCAGGAGCAAGCGATGTAGCTGCTGCTGCAAAACAGCAGTAAACCTCCCTCTTCTCATCTGCATTTGCAGCTCCCCACTGTGCTGGGCTTTGCTGTGGACAGTGAGAACTAGAAAAAGGCACTCCAGTTATTCAGTCATTTTTGAGATCTAAGGCTTGGACAATTCTTAGAAAGCTCTTAGAAAATATATTCTCCATGAGCCACTGATTTAGCTCAGTGGTTCTACCATCTGCCCTGCAAGCACAAGAACCCGAGTTCAATCCCCAGCACAAAAAAAAAAAGAAAGAAAGAAAGAAAGAAAGAAAATATATCCTCCTGACCATAACTCTGAATTATTTACCTAATCTGCTCAAACCAGTCTTGATTGTCCTATAAGCCAACCAAGTCTAAGAAGAGAACAGCTTCCCAGAAAACATTCTGGCGGAGCTAGCCAGGTCTTACGAGCAGAAATGAATCAAAATGTGGGTGAAGTGCTTAACATCTAGCAGCCGTTTTTCCCTAGGCGTATAGTTCAGAACTCCCAATCACTACAAGCCATTCACCAACCATTCTGCTTTCCTTCGGTCCACCGTCTGACCCCTCCCTGCTTTGCTGTGGAGAGAGCCTGAAAGTAGGGAGGAGGCCACAGAAGCTTTGGAGTCAATTCTAGCTGGAGGCATTTGTTCCGGTTTAAACTGGTTAAGAGAAGAGCCTGGCCGGGTGTGGTGGTGCACGCCTGCAATCCCAGCACTCGGGAGGCTGAGGCAGGAGGATCGCTGTGAGATCTAGACCAGCCTGGGCTACACAGTGAGTTCCAGGTCAGTATCAACTACATAGTGAGACCCTGTCTCAAAAACAACAACAACCAAAAAAAAAAAAAAAAAAAGAGAGAGAGAGAGAAGAGCCTGGCCAGCAATTAGTAGAATTATTGTGGCAAAGTAACCAACACATTACATAAGTTCTTTCTGCTATTGATAAGAGACTTTAATTGCAAAGTATCTATGCAACCCTAAAACATACACACTTTTCTGGATTTTATGTTGAAATCTAGTAAGATGCACTTGATATAACAGCATAAATAAATTTACTAGAGGATAGTAAATTAGTATCCTATGTATTGGAGGAACTAATGAATGAATGTAAATAAATGACAATTAACAGGAAAAGGACCAAAGATTATTTTTAAAAAATACAATCTATATATTTCCAACAAATTCCTTGTAAAATATACTAAAAATTGCTTTAAAGTATAAAAAAAGGAAAAAGCCAGTAATTATAACAAAATATGAGGGCAACAGCATACATATGTAGATTTAGAGGACTCTTACATGTTCATGTGATTAAGAGATTTGTGCTGTACATTTTTTAAAAAAGACTTTCCAACAGAAAACTAAACATTTATGACTGGAGTTAGTTGTAGTAAGGAATTGGATGTGAGTGTCTGATTGCTCTTTGTGTCTTCAAAATTCTGCAGAAAATTTCGTCTTCTTTTAAGTCCATCCAAAATGACTGAATTATTAGATGCGAGGCTTTGTGTCCTAAAGAGATTAAAAATAACAAAATGACTGCCTTCAAAAGGGACCTAGAATTTTTAAGCAAGGCATTAAAATTTCATTTATTACTCTGAAGCAGTATATTAAATAACTTTAAGTTACACTTATCAAATAAGTTAACCTCTAAAAATCTAAACTGTTTTATTTTTGTTGTTGTTGTTGTTGTTGGATTTTTTGGTACCAGGTATCAAACAGAACCTTGTGCTTGCGAGCCAGGTGCAGTGCTAGTGAGCTAAATCCCTGGCCCTAAAGTGTTCCATTTTTAAAGGCTTTACAATAGCACCTCAATTATTTAACAGCTGCTGTACTCAGATTAAGTATCAAGTATATTTTAGAAACAGTAAATTCCACTATCTCTAACTTCTTATAATTTATTGTTTTTGAGAAATCATATGGAGGGGAAGAACCAACTACTGTACTTTTCATGTAAATTTTTTCTAGGAGCCGTAAGCTATGGTCCTACCTCACATATATATCTTGTTTCAGCCAAATCACACTGGTATTTTGCTTGTTTGCTCATTTTTGGTGCTTAGGGATTGAGCCCAGGGCCTCGCTGCTTGCTTAAGCACACACTTTACCACTGAAACACTCACTCCCCAAGCCCACATGTTATTTTTGTTTTTGACATTCACCCTTTCTTACCTTGCTTCTCTTCATCAGTTGCCTACTACATTAATATGTCTCAAAAATACGTCATCTGGTAATACTTCCTTTCCATAGGGCCATTATCCTTACGTCCACATCTTTTTGACAAGACTAATTTGAATTTATGCTTTGTTCTCAAGTTCAATCTGTTTATTGTTTGCTTGTCTCCTCAACAAAACTAAGGGGTAAACTTCCTGTAGAACCAACAATGTCTTATTCATCTCTGTTCCCTAATCCTTGTCACAAGACATGGAGTTGTGTTCAAATGTTACGTTATCTCCTCTCCCCTTGCTTCTAAATTTCTTTTTTCTTTTCTTTTTTAGTACTGGGGATGGATCTTCTAAACTTCTTTAAGCCTGTCTAGAAAATGACAACATAAGGAATTTTTTTTGGTACTAGGAATCGAACTCGGGACCTTGTGCTTGCAAGGAAGGCAGAAGAACCACAAAGCTAAGTCCTCTGGGCCAAGGAATTTTTTAAAAACTAAATTTCTCAGGCTGGGGATTTAGCTCAGTGGTTCTGGTACCAGCCTCGCAAGTACAAGTGTAAGATCCTCCCAGGGAGGAATCCCACTACTCTGAGTCAGGGACGCCGAGATGCACCATAAACACCCCGGACAGTTTTTAAAGAAAAAAACCACAAGCTATAGGGGAGGGGGAATTCCAAGAAAGGGGAGGGGGGACTTCGGTGGGGGATCCTTTACGGGAATGTTTAGGGCTAGGTCAGGTTGTTCCCGTACCAGATGTTTATCTTGGTTCCTGTGTCTCAGAAATGTTTAACGTGACCTTCTGGCCTGTCATAGTTAGCTGACTCTGCTAGGGGTTGGGCTACTGGAGCTTCTTGAAAACTTTCCTAACACAAGGACCCAAGTTCAATCCCCAGAACAACAACAACAACAAAAAACTAAATTTCTCAAGATTTTAGAAATTAGAATCCTCAACTGCACATCCAGGAATAATTTCCCTTAACTGTTTGATTTGGTTTCATTTTGCCAAAGAGAAAGGGAACTTACTGCTTGTTGGTTTACACCATTACCTATGCACTTTGGAAACAACATTTTGATTCCCTAATGACTTAGTGTGAATCAAATTATTGTTTCAAGCAGAAAAGACCTTATTCGCTCAATAAAGAAGTAAAAATGGGCCGGGCATGGTGGCGCAAGCCTGTAATCCCAGCACTCAGGAGGCTGAGGCAGGAGGATCGCTGTGAGTTCGAGACCAGCCTGGGCTACATAGTGAGTTCCAGGTCAGTCTCAACTACATAGTGAAACCCTGTCTCAAAAAACCAATAAAAAAAAAAGGGAAAATGTAGTAGCTCAGTGGTAGAGCACTGTCTACCATATGCCAGGCCTGGATTCAAACCCTAATATCTCAACCAAAACAAACAAAAAGAATTTATATTAATAGGCATTAATCTCAGGATGTCCATGATATGTTAGATGAAGGAAAGAAAGTCATGAAGCCAGGCACACTCCCATAATCCCAGCTACTTGAGAAGCTGAAATAGGAGGATTGGGAGTTGAGGTTACTCTAGACAACAGAGCAAGACCCTGCTTGAGAGAAAGAGAAAGTCCTGGCTGTGTATAATTTGTTAGAAATACTTATATTTAGGACAGGGGATGTAATTCAGTGGTAGAATGCTCAACTAGCATGCACAAGGCCTTGGGGTTGAACCCCAGTACAGAAAACAAGCAAAAAAAGCAATATAGAAAATAGAATCTAGCCGGGTATGGTGGCCCATGCCTGTTTTCCCAGCACTCAGGAAGCTGAAGGCAGAAGAATCACTGAATGCTTTGTTTTGAATGCTTTTTTTTTTTTGTACCGGGGATCGAACTCAGGCCCTTGTGCTTGCAAAGCAGGTGGCGGAACCACTGAGCTAAATCCCCGGCCCATCACTGGGTGTTTGAGACCAGCCTGGGCTACAGAGTGAGTTCAAGGCCAGCCTGAACTAAATAGCAAGACCTTGTCTCAAAAAAAAAAAAAAGAAAGAAAAGAAAAGAAAAATAGAATCTAGGAGAGCAACAGACAAAGAGTATAGATCTATATATTTAGACTTAAATGTTACAAATATATCAAATATGAAAGAATTCTGAAAAATAGTACAACAATTACAGGTGTTTAAAATACTTTTTTTTTCTGGTACCAGGGATCAAACTTGGGACCTTGAGCTTGCAAGGCAGGCTCCAGAACCACTGAGCTAAATCCCCAAGCCTAAAAAAACTTTTTTTACCGCCAGTGGCAGTAGCATTCACCTGTAATCCTACAACTTGGGAAACTGAAGGAGGAGGATTAGCACCAGTTTAAGGCTGATAGGTGCTACACAGTGAGTTCAAGGTCAGCCTAGAATAATACATGGCAAGATCCAGTCTCAAAAAAACAAAGAAGGGCCAGGGATTTAGCTCAGTGGTTCCACCGCCTGCCTCACAAGCACAAGGACCCAAGTTTGATCCCCAGTACAAAAAAAAAAAGAAAAAATAGTTTTTCCCCCACAGGAACCCCAAAGCAGTCTTTAACAGGGCCTGTACTACAGCATTGGGGGATCAGTACACAGGAGGAAGCCCTTTTAGACTAAAATCCAAAAAGTGCCTGGCAAGTGCTGCATATGTAGCAGCCTGCAGGCCTGTTTCAGTGTGGGCTGAAACCAGGGAATCTTCCGGAAGGCTTGCTGTGAATGTTGGGTGTGCAAATAGGTCCCTCCCTTCCTGACTTTAGCCACTCCAGGATGCCCTCTTTTAATTCAAAAATGCAACCATGTGGTCTGAGGTGGTGGGAGGCGGGGAGGGGACACCAGACCACCTGTCTGGTGGCTGCACTGCTGTTAGAGAGGACACTGAAGCAAACTATCCAGTCTATGAGGGGAAGCAAATGGGAGAGGCAGACAGCTACTAAGCTGCACCCCTCCAGTCAGCAGGGGAAAATAAGAGAGTTGCGAGGCACTTCATCTGTCTCTCTCCCCTCATTTCATCCTTCTTCTGTGACTGCTTCAAAGCTGCTCTGAGGCAGGTGACCTTGCCTTCAGGAGGAATAAAAATCTCCTGCCAACTGATCCAGTGATATGTGGTGTCTCGGCTCTTCCTCTTAAAGTACTTTTTGGTACTTTTGGTTTCAGTCCTGGGTCTTAAACCCATCACTTTGCACATCCTAAGAATGTGCTATACCACTAAGCTATAACCCAGCCCCCAGTGCTTCTTAAAAGTTCTATTATGATCATATTACTTTTATAACCCGAACATTGTCATTTAAACAAATTGGAGTGGAAAATATTGGTGGAAAGTCACTTCCCTTACTTAATCTGTATAGATCCAGGAATAAAAGGGAAAAGCTTCTAACCCTAAGTTCATAAGTTCCTGGTTTACAGCAATTCCTTTCTATATTTAGAAATAAGTTATGCTTTATTAGTAATGAACCAATAAAATTTGGTTTGCATGGAAAATGAACCCTAAGGAAATAGGAAGGGTAATGGGTGAGATGATCAATTATGTTACGTGCCTATAAAAAATGCCAAAATGAAATCCTTCCGAATAATTTTTTTGTTTTGGTTTGGTTTTTGGTACCGGGATTGAACTTGAGACCTTGTGCTTGCGAGGCAGAGGACAGAAGCACTGAGCCAAATCCCCGGCCCTTCTGAATAATTAATAAGCACAAATAAAAAATGAACTCTATTCTCCTATATGAGATCTCATTGTAACTGTATACAATTTCTCTAGAGGTTGGCAGAATTGGAGCAGTTATAGTTTGTTCAGGAGTCTCTCACTAGGCACTCAGTAAGCCCCTGATTTTAATAACTCCTGTGGGAGAGTACCTATGCAAACACTTTCATGTGCACTTACCGTGGAGAATCTATTCCACTATCTCCTGCCATGCTGTGATTTTCTGTTCCTTCCAAGTGTTGGTGTTCATGCTGAATATCCTGTGCCAACACTGGCATACATGAGACATTGAAAAGTTCTAACTTTTGTGTGACGTGTTTTCTCATTTCCTGATTCTGAGGACTTTGATTCCATGTACTTGGTTTCTTTCCTGTGTCACCAACAACAGGGTGAGGGACTTCCGCCTCAGAATTGGGTTTCCTGGTGCTATAGTAATCAAATAAACTTTGATCAGCAGGTGCCAAGGCCTGTACACATGTAGCAACACTGGGTTCTTCACAGTTAAAACCAAACTGGGTCCCTGAATTTAGCCCACAGCTTTCAGCAGAGAGATTAGGTTTTTGGCTTTCACCTGGGTTTCTAAGCAACACAGTGGGCTCACAATGTTCATTTATTTTAAGCACCGGAGGCACAAACCAGTCCATTTTGCTATTACGCTCAGTTTGAAATCCCTCAGTCACTTTTGGTTTTCCTAAGTGATTACAGTTGCTTCCACCTGCAAAGGAATATGGGATGTGGCAAGGCTGCCTCTGACATAAGTCATCATTCTCAGAAAAGTCATCCTCCTCTAAATATAATGAACTGCAGGCCCCATCATCATCCTCCACCTCATCCTGATACAAAGCCTGGTCATTATCAGAAAGTTCTCCATTTTCTAGACTTGCAGTCTCTGACTCCTGGAAAAATGTCTTTCTCATTAATTCTTCTGAATTTCTGTCTTGCCTTCTCTCAGGTTGTCTCAAATGATTCACACCACCTGAGTGATCTAACAGATCAAGGTTTTGAAACTGGTGTATTGTTTTATCGACTAATCTGCAAGCGGAGGATGGGTCTAAAGAGGAGGAACCATGCAATGCTTCTTTAGCCTCCCCTAGTTTGTCAAAGTGAGAGGGACTTTTCTTCGTGACTTCAGGGATCACCTTGTTTTCTGTACCGTACACCTCACATCTCAACATGCTTTCCCTAAAGGAATAGCATTGGCTGTCACTTTGCAAGTCACTATTTTGAGGGTAATTTAAGAGGCCATCTCTGAAGTAATCACTGATGGGCTGGACAGAAGACTTGGTCATATAAATGGGTTCTGCTTTTAGCTTGTCATGACATTGCTTGGGGTATGGCTGTTGAGCTTCACTATCGAAAAGTCTTGGGGGCTCTGAAGACGGTCTTTGGAAAGGCTTTTCCTTTGGTGCGATCTGACTGGGTGTCAGATGACTTCTCTTCTGAATGTTGTGCCCTTTGGTTACTGGGCTCCCTCGGAAAGACAAGCCCTGGAAAGGATTACTGATTCGCCTTTTGTAAATCAATTGAGAGCCTAGCACTCTTGGATTTTCCTGAATCCCTGTCTGAGTTTCTGCTTCATTAGCACTTTTAACTTGAGGCACGGGCTGGGTAACAGGGAGCTTGGGGGGCTTCTCCAGCGTAAGGCTTCCTGGTTGAAGCTCATTCACCCGACTCTGGGTTTTGGGTCTTTCTCTGTGAGAGAAGCCACGCCTGCAATACTTGGCTGACCTACCCTGCCTTTTCTTAACGCCCTCTTTGGAAGGATTAATAGGCCTGACTGTCAGCATATCAGTGGAAGTGCCCTGATTATGGTGTTTCTTCCGTTCTTCATATTTTTGCATGAGGAGAGTATGTTTGATTAAGTTGTCAATAGTCAGAAGAGGGTTAATTCTTTTGATGATCTCATGCTCAACGTCTCGGGGGATATTGTCTAAGTTATCTTCATCTCGGACAGGCCATTCCTCAGGTGGAAACTGGGCAGAGAAACTGTTACACTCTGTTCTGGGTTTCTCCTTTCTAGAAATACTGCGCCACAAGAGGCTAAAACCAAACTTTTTGCCTTTTTCTTTGTCTTTTGGGTATGGTAAAGTTTTGGGGTGGTCACTGAGGTGATTCTCCTCAGATGTTGAAACTGCCCGATTTTGAACCAAAGGTATGGATTCCCCAAACCCTTTTTGGCCTTTTCTAGTCATTTCTGCAGCAGGTGGTGGCTCCTCCACATCCTGAGAGCACATGTCAGGGAAACAGCGGCAGGACTGACAATGGGAAACGAGGACTGCATTGTCTTTGGCCAACTCTGCACAGCTTTCCATGCTCACCAGATAGGTCACAGAAGTGGGCCCTGGTGGGCTTCCCTCTGACAGAAGGGCTCTCTTCTTTTCCTGGGCAGTTGGCTTTGTGATGAAGTAAGTCTGAGCTGTAACTATGAAGTATCCTTCTCCAGTGTGATAAATCTTTCTTTCTTTAATCAGACTTCCCAGAATGGTATAGAGAATATCTTGAGATGGAAGTGCAATGCCTAAAACAAATAAGGATTTTACTCTATCACAGATTTTGAATAAGAAGTATTTTTAAGAGGTGAAATCAGTAACTCAGAAATAGCTGGGCATGGTGGCATGTGTGCCTGTAATCCCAGCACTTGGCAGGGTGGACAAGAAGATCAATAAATTCAAGACCAGCCTATGTTATATAGCAAGTTCCTGTCAAAAAAAAAACAAAAACAAAAGCAAAAACCCAGAATGACCACACAGTTGTTTAATGAACCCAGAGCTAACTGTACTGCAATTAATATATGTAACTTTCAGTTACATAAGAAGTTACCAAAGAAGCATAAATATCATTCATAATTTAATTGAATAGTATCAATATAAATTGGTCCCCATAAAGGCATAGGACAAAGCAAATGGTTAAACAGAGGGGGAAAAAACATGAATTCACTCAAATACAAATCTACTTTAAACTTGTAGGCTAGGGATATAGGATATAGCTCAATGGTAGAGCTTTGGCGTTGGATAAAATTTTTTTTAATTTCGAGGAAAGAATTCCTGCCAAGCAAACATGACAATTTTAGTAAATCACAGTCTTATTCAATTTTTGTAAGAAAGGCACAAAGAGAATATATATAATAATTCCATTTATATCATAAACATTTATAGTGGGCATGGTGGTACATGCCTGTAATCCCAGCTCTGGGAGGCTGAGACAGAGGACTGTAAGTCTGAGCCCGGCCTGGGCAACTTAGTGGTTTAGCAAGTATCTATCTCATAATAAATTTAAAAAGAGCCAGGGATGTAGATCAGTGCAAAGGCCCTGGATTCAATCTCTAGTACAACGAAAAAGTTGTATGTATGCATATTATGTATTCAAATACAATTTATGTTTTTTTTTGTTTTTGTTTTTGTTTTTTTTGGTACCAGGGATCAAACTCGGGTCCTTGCGCTTGCAAGGCAGGCCACCGAATCGCTGACCTAAATCCCTGGCCCTCAAATACAATTTATGAAAGCATTCATAAGAACTACAAACAACAGCAGTAGTAATGGAAAAATGGGAAGTAGGAGAACATTTCCTTTTCCTTTCACTGCTTTCTACAGACTCTTATTTATTGCCATAAGCATTTACTTCTGAAAACCTTCATCTGGAAAGTAAAGAAAAATTACCCTTATCAAATTTGTTGATGCAAGACCTTTTCTGGCAGGGTTATGAAATAATATTCAATGGAAGAAAAAAGGTTATCACCCAGTTTATGCTTAAATAAATCATTTATAAATAGAAACCAAGTATGCAGTGAAATGTGAACAGAAAACTCATTACTGTACCTGGGTAATGTTTCTTCAAATGCTCCAGAAGTGTTTCTTGTGTTACTACAATCTGAGCCGTGTTCATATCAGATATAGCACAGCAAAGAACTTCAGCCAAGGATACAAACCGAGATTGAGCTATTGGATTCATTTGCACAGGAAAGACATCACCTAAATTGGAGATCAAGAAAAGGATGGATGATAAATCTAATATGGTATAAAATGTTGGCAGTTAGTGAGCCAAGAATTGTTATAAAGACAGATTAAGATGAAAAGGTGGAGTTGCTATTCTTTCACCAGTTTTTACACAAAATATATTAATGTAACATGTACAATGGTAGAAAGTAACGAAGAGAAAGGGGTGTGTATTATGGTCTCTACTTTTAAGAAGTTTGCAGTGTCTGTCACTAGTTTACAAGCAAAAGACAGTAAGTTTCCACGGGAAAGGCAAAAAGTCCTGCCAGAATTCAGAAAGTCAGACCCATATATTATACTAGTTCACATAGCTTTCATGTGAGCTATCTAAGAAAGAGAGAAATGGGATTATTATCTATTCCATTACTCAAAATACAGAGGTATAGAAAGCTCAAGTAATCATCAAGCCTAAAAGCTAGTAAAGTGAGAGATAGGTCTTCAGACTCCTAATCCAGTATTTTCACCATTTCACACCTCCCTGATTGGGATGATCAGGAAGATCTGAAGCTGGAAAGGGCAGAAATGTTTTCCACTAACAAAACATGGAGTAAAACCCAGAACAATGAGAGCACAAGGCACATAAGACTGGGGCTATTCTGGTAAAATTTAAGGGTCACATTGAACCAAAGTAAAAAATAAAGCTGGAAATGTAAGCTAGGCCATATTCTCTTTCCTCTTAGTCAACATATTAAATGTTCTTAACCTGCTATTACTTATGTTGTGCTTTAGATTCTGTAAGACACCCATGAGAAGTGGAAGGACTAGGACTCAGGAAAGAGATTTGGAAATCAACTAATGCAAACAAGTCCTAAAATCTAAGGGGTGAAATTCATTAGTAAAGAAGAGAGTTATGGGGGCTGGGGATTTGGCTCAGTGGTTCTGCCACCTGCCTCGCAAGCGCAAGGACCCGAGTTCAATCACCAGTACCAAATTAAAAAAAAAAAAAAAAAGAGTCATGGGACACTTCATCCTAGACTACATTTAGGAAAAAGTAGAGCTAGGAATCCATAAGAGTGAAGGCACAGTAATGAGGGTGGGCTGGAGAATCCCAAGTGAGAAAACACAGCTTTGAAATGAACAGCAGGGCCAGGGATTTAACTCATTGGCATCCTGAGTTAGAAGAAGAAAAGAAGAAAGGAAGAAGAAGAAAAGAAGAGGAAGAGGAGGAGGAGGAGGAAGGAGGAAGGAGGAAGAATAAGAAGGAGAAGAACAAAGCCGGGTGGGGTGAGGCAAAAGGATGCTTGAGCCGCCAAGTATTCCAGGCCAGCCTGGGCAGCCCAGGGGTCAAAAGAAAAGAACAAGGGATTTAGTTCAGTGGTATCTTGGGTTTGATCCTCAGCACAGAAAAAGAAAAGAGAAGAGTCAAATGCTTGGAAGAATAAAAAAGATTGAAGTAAGAGAGAGGCTACTGGATTTTTTGCTTGGAAAGTAATCACTGGCTTTCAAGCAAACTGTTTTAGTAGAAGAGATGACAGAAATTAAAGGTTGCATTGAAAAGAAGGGAGTTGGTAAGAAGTGAGGTTCATGGGTCTTCCTTTTAAAGCAGGACTTTTTTTGTGTTGGCACTTTTGACGTTTGGGACCAGACATTTAGAAATCAATGTTTCCATCATGCCCAGGACTGCAGGTGTCATGGGACATGGGACTTTCAGAGCTACAACCTCGAAAGTCATAGGCACCCTGGGATGACTGGTCACCCTGGCTAGATAACCGCTTGTTGGAGGGGCTGTCCTCTGCATTACAGGATGTCTTATCTTTTCCCTGAATTCCACCTGTTAGATGCCAGTAGCATTCCTACCATTGCTGCAACTAAAGCTGTCTCTAGACATTGCCAGATGTTTCTTGGGAGCAAAATCAGCCCAGCTGAAAGTCAGTGTTCCAGACCATTTGTATGAAAATGTAAATAGGGCAAAACAGATCGCAAACAAGAAGGGAGGGAACACAGCAAATATAACTTAGTGAGTGCTGTGATTTTCTTAAAAAGAAGACTTCTGGTGTCTGTTTCTTGGTGGCCCATTCTTGATTTTTTCTGAGTAGGAACCTCATTTTGCCTAATAAGCCCGTTTATGCTTCTGATGTTTACTAAAATTCTTTTTCTGTGACAGAAGACAGAGAACCTACTGCGTACTGCATGGGGGCAGCAAGTTGAGGTTTCCATATCCTCTTTGGGGGAGCTTTTTGGATCCTGTCTGGTGATAAGGTGACCTTCCCCAAGCCACCAAGGCTTCCCCCCAGCGTAGTGACCACACCGATGCAGACAGGAAGACTAGTGGTTCTGTGGTTCACAGCACTGACACATTTTTGTTTGCAACAGCACCAGCATTCACATTTGATGCATTCTTCATAGCTGTATGCTTTCTTCCTGTAATGCTTGCAAGTGGCTATCTTGATCTCAGGTTTGTCTGTGTGGAACTCTCTCGGACATGTGTAACCATCCAATTGCACACCTTTTTTTGCAACTGGAACAAAGTAGGCTGTTTGGTCAGAAGCTGGTGGCTTTGGTGAGTCTCCAGATACTGACTGTCCCCCTTATCCTGTGGTGTTGAATGCTCCCAGAATGGAGCACAAAATAATAACCATGATGGCTAAGTGGAATGAGGCCACCTCCTGTGACCTGTAAGAAAGTTTATCATTGGATAAAACTGGTCCTGTGCTAACAACTGCTCTGCAGCTAAGAAATATAACCTATCATTATCTGTTTGAGGACACTTGTCCATTTGCTGATTTGGTTCACAGGGAATTTGGGGCTCTACTTCTTCATGTTTGTTTAGCAGTTCTTGGGATTGAACCCAGTACATTTACACTGAGTTACATCCCCAGCCCTTTGTAATTTAAAAAATATAAGCTTCTAGTCACTACACTGTCCAGGCTGGGCTTGAACATGTAATCCTCCTGTCTCCGCCTCTCAAAGAGCTCAGGTTACAATCGTGTGCTATCAGGCCCGGCTCACCTTGAGTATTATTTATCAAAAACTAGTCTTCATGTAAAAGTCAATGCCTATTTAAATCTCTTCCTGCTGGGTGCAGGGGAAATTCTTGAGTACACCTTGTGCTCACTGGATGCAACAGAGTGGGAAAAAGTAATATTCTGGCCTTCTCTCTTTTCTTTCCCACGCCTGCTTGTGGTGTGCTTATGCCAGTTCCCTGGAATTACCAGGTTTGGCACTTATGGCTGTCAAGTTTACCACAGCGCCAGCATTTGGCCTCACTGCCTTTATATACCAGAGAAGCATCCAACCACTGTAACACTGAGAGCTCTGGGGGAGGCAGCGTGCAGCCTGGGGTGTTGTGCGCAAGCCTCGGTGGTAGGTTCTCGGTGGAACTCTGGTGTTAGGATCTTCATACCATAGCTGTTAGTTGGAATGATGGCCTTTCTGACTGAGACTTCTCATCTTGGCTGTTATTTTTCACCCAGAGAAAAAGGCTTACAAACAAGTCATTATAATTTATCTTCTTAACCATGAATATGTTGTCGGGGCCCAGTCATGGCACACTGGAGTTTGACATTTGGAAAATAACTTCTTCCTGTATAATTAAAGCATCGACATTTGCTACTTTTCAAGGAAACCGTTTGTTAAACTTGTTTTGTTCTTTGATCCTGCCATAACAGGAACTCCTTAGCGGAAGATCTGATGTTATCTGTAAGAGTCAGGAAATCCGGTCTTTACATAAAGATAAAAAACGATTGCTTGGTGTTTTCTGTTGTTGTGTGCCCTTAAAAGCTTCCTGGTGATGTGAATCTATAAAAGGAGCTGTTTCTGTGAAATAAATCAGACTCCTCTTGGTCTCCACTCAGGCTTGAGTGTTCTTTCCTTTCTCAATCCTCACTCCCCGACTCAGGTACGTTCGTGTTGTGACGGCTGGACCGCCACAATATGTTGTGTACGAAACAGTAGCATTAAATGCATTCATAATATTGTGTAACCATCACCACTGTCTAGATCCCAAACCTTTCCGTCATCCACAACCAGGATTTTGAAACTTCTGTGCACGAGAGTCTCTGCTGGTGGTTGTTCTTCAACAGTATCCTATGATCTTCATTCTCAGGCTCAGTCACTCCCCTCAGAAGTCTTTGTGGACACTTTACACACTGCATCGCTCAAGTTACCCATTTGGACCTTGGTCTCCCTTTTCCTGTGTCTTTTCTCTTCTGTGGTGCTGAATCTGGGGCTTAATGCACGAGAGTCCTGTGGGAAGTGTTGCTTACTTGCTCGGTGGGGGCTGGGTGACATCTCCTAGAGGGAGAAAGGGGACCAAGGCTGACTTGCTCACTCTTAATTTTCTTTATTTTTACATAATAACTGTTTTAAAAAAATAACTGTTTAAAACTTTTGGTTTTTGTTGTTGTTGAAAAATTTCTCATTATTGCTTCTCACCTTTTAGCTAAGATCAAGTGAAAACTTTCTCATAAAAACTTTAGAGAGATATATAAACACCACACAAGATATGAGAATAAGATTCTTCTTCCACAGAGGAATTAACATAAATATTTCAGGCACTGGACAGCACATATGGCACCCTCATTCACCACCCCCAGAATCCTCCTGTTTTTTCCAATCCGACGTTTTTAGTTGTGGAAAGTAATGTGCTTAATCTGTTTTTGTTTTCTGGTACTGGTTATTTAGTTCTCCCAAATATTCCTTGGGAGCAGCTTCCTGAGTGTTTCTGGAAAAAAAAAAAATGTTTTCCCACTGTGAAAGATAAGGACTGGAGCATAGGGGAAGGAGGAGGAAACCTGAACCGAACACTACCTGTGTGAACCACACCTCCTGCTGTTCCTGAGCCAGGAACTCTGAATTTTGAGATAGGGGAGGGATGACGTGACAGGAGATGGATGACTGGATGGTCTGTTGCTGGCCCCTCGTGGCTCTGCTGAGACACAAGCCAGCAGTGCTGTGTCTCCATTTTATTTTAGAGCTACAACTGAAGCAGCTCACTTTCTACTTCGATCCTTGTTTGTTTCCTCAGTTCAGAGGAAAACAAAATAGATCTTTTGTGGCGCTTCAGAGGCTGGGGGAGGTTGCATGACACATTACTGTCCCTTTCTTTGCCACCTCCTGTGAATCTCTATTTCAAATTAGAATAGTGTGCTTTTGAGGCAGACTGAGCTAAATCCCTGCTCCAGGTTTACTTTTAATTAACAAGTACAAATGCATGAGAAACAAATTTATTAAAAACGACTTTTAAAAAATAACCCTAACACTGGTTGCCAAATTGCAATGTATCCTTAGAAAATGTATTTGTAATACCTACCGTGGTGTAGATTCTTAAGAATAAAATAATCTAAAACCGGGCGTGGTGGCGCACACCTGTAATCCCAGCTCTTGGGAGGCTGAGGCAGGAGGATCGCTGTGAGTTCGAGACCAGCCAGGGCTACAAGGTGAGTTCCTGGTCAGTCTCAACTACATAGTGAGACCCTGTCTCAAAAAACAACAACAACAACAACAAAAAGAATAAAAGAATCTACCACCAGCTAAGAAGACTAATTGCTTCTTTTTCCTCCTTAAAACGAATGCAATGTTCTCAGTGTGTGTGGGGAGGGTGGGGGCGGGATGACAGCAACTGAGGAAAATGGGAAAAAAAGAAGCAAGATATATCATGTACAAGTACAAATTCTCTATTTATATATATAAAATGTACCAATAAATGTTTTGCTAAAAAATAAATAAAATGTACTGTTTTTGCTTTATATATAT